GTAAGTTAATACTGAATTAACTCCATATATATATATATATGGAGGATATATATAGAGAGGATATATATATATGGAGGATATATATATGGAGGAGATATATATATATATGGACGAGATATATATACACACACACATATATATATATACACACACACACATATATCCTATTAGTTCTGTCCCTCTAGGGAACACTGAGTCTCGAAGTTTCTACAGTGAGACCAAATGTTTAGAGATGTCTGATGTCCCCAAGACCAGGAGAACAAGGGAGTAAGGAAAGAGAGTGCTGGAACTTGATGACTTGAGGCGGGTCACTGTCTCTCTCTGGGCCTCAATTTCTGCTTTGAAAAATGAGAATGTTTGCCCTAAGAATACCAGATCCAAAGTGCTCAGGAGCATTTCTCAAGATTATTGGAAGTGTCAAAATTAGAATCAGATCAAGTTAGGAAACATTTTAAAGTTTACTGTTACATAGTAAGAGAAAGTACAGCTCATGATCCAGGAGACTTCAAACAAAGTGGTAGAAAGCTCACTTTATGGCAGTCATAGCACACTTTATAAAGCATAAAGGAGAATATTTTGATTTTTTTTGTGGTTGGCTGTTTTACATTAACATTCTTTTTAAGGTAAACAGAGTTGTTTAAACTGATTTGCCTATAGCTGATTGGTTTAATTTCACTGAATCATGCTGACAAAGATGTAAAGGTTATGTTTGGTATTTATGATTAGAGATGGTGTTTGGGGAAATCGGGATGAATTAAATTTTGGTTGCATGGTTATGAGTGGTTGGCCCTCGGGTATACCTAAACTGTGGCTTCATTTTTATCTTTAACAGAAGATGACTGAGCTCTCACTATGTGTCAGGGCACTGTTTAAATTCTGAATCCTGCCCTCTTGTAGGAAGACAGAGATTAAACAAGAGAGCCAATAACCAAACAAAAAAGTAGAGACACTGTGGGGTTGGGGATCTTAGCTCAGGTGCTTAGGGAGGGCATTTGAGCAGAATCATGAATGCAATAAAGGAGGCAGCCATGCAAAAACCTGTAGGAAGAGCATTCCAGGCAGAGAGAACAGCCAGTGCAAAGGCCCCAAGGTGGGAATGAGCTTGGTGTGTTCTGAAGACTCATGTGCTCAGCACCCAGGGGCGGAGCGGGAAGCAGGGGAAAATGTGGCTAGGAAAGGAGGCAGAGCAAGATGGCAGAATAGAAAGCTCCACTGATCGTCCTCCTGCGACTCTGTGCAAGGACACCAAGTTAACAACTACCTACACAGAAAAAAACACCTTCATCAAATCCAAAAATCAGGTGAGCACTTACAGTACCTGGTTTTAATTTCATATCACTGAAAGAGGCACTGAAGAGATAGAAAAAACAATCCTGAATCACCAACGGTACCCCTCCCTGACCCTCGCAGCCATGACGTGCTGTGGAGAGTGTCTCTGGACACTGGGGAAGGGAGAACACAGTTCTTTTGCTTCACAGTTCAATTGTGAAGCATTGATCTCAGCAATGTCCTGTTACAGCAGAAAGGAAAACCAGACCAAACTCAGTTGATGCCCACTCACAGAAGGAGCATTTAAACCAGCCCTAGCCAGAGGGGAATTACTGATCCCAGCAGTCTGAACTTGAGTACCTGCAAACCTCACCGTGAAGGGCCAAAGTGCTCTCAGTCTCTAACTAAACTTGAAAGGCAGCCTAGGTCATAAGGACTTCAACTCTTAGGTGAGTCCTAGGGCTGAACTAGGTCCAGACACAGTGGACTTGGCAGGGGTGGGGGTAGGGCGGGGCACAACATGCTGAGACACTAGCTGGGACAGCCAAGGGAGCGCTGGCATCACTTTTCCCCTAACCCCAGGATGCACAGCATGTGGCTCTAAAAGAGACCCTTCCTTCTGCTTGAGGAGAGGAGAGGGAAGAGTTGAGAGGACTTTGTCTTGCATCTTGGATACCAACTCAGTCACAGCAAGATAGGGCTCCAGTCAGAGTCATCAGGCCCCTGTTCCAGCCCTAGCTCCCAGATGACATTTCTAGACAAACCCTGGGCCAGAAGGGAACCCACTGCCTTGAAGGAAAGGACCCCATCCTGCCAGAATTCATCACCTGCTAACTGAAGAGCCCTTGAACCCTGAATACCTAGCAGCAATACGCAGGCACCATGTTGAGGGCCATCATGAGCCTCTGAGACTTGCTGGCTTCAGGTACCAACACCGCCACAGGGGCTAGAGCACCAAGCAGGTTCTTAGGGTTCTAGATTCCAGGACTTGACAGCATTTCTGGACCTGTCCCAGGCCAGAGGGGAGTCCAATGCCCTGAAGGGTGATCCCAGGCCACGCAGCTTTCAAGACAAGCTAACTTAAGAGATCTTGGGCCTTAACAGAACATCGGTGGTAGTCTTTCAGTACTCCTTGTGGTCAGGGGTGGCAGTGGCTATGGAGTGAGGCTCCTCTGCCTTTGGAAAGGGGAGGGAAAAGCAGGAAGGACTAGGTCTTGTGGTTTGAGTGCCAGGTCAGCTGCAATACAATAGAACACCAGGTAGACTTATATTTCTTTGACTCTAGTCCCTGACTCCTGGACGATACTTCTAGACCCACCTGGGGCCTAGGGGAACTCACTGACCTGGAGGGAAAGACACAGGCCTGGCTGGCTTTGCCACCTGCTCATTGTAGCGCCCAGGGCCTTAAGCAAACATAGGCAGTAGCCAGAGAGTGGTTACAGCAGGCCTTGGGTGAGACCCAGTGCTGGCTGGCTTCAGGACTGACCCAGGACAGTCATATTGGTAGCGGCCACAGGGGTATTAATACCTATGTCACTCCACCCCCAGCTTTAGTTGGCTCAGAACAGAGAGAGTTTCCATATGTTTGGAAGAAAATAAGAGAACAAGAGGCTGGGTGCGGTGGCTCACGCCTGTAATCCCAGCACTTTGGGAGGTCGAGGCAGGTGAATCACAAGGTCAGGAGATCGAGACCATCTGGCTAAACACAGTGAAACCCCATCACTACTAAAAATACAAAAAATTAGCTGGGTGTGGTGGCACGCACCTGTAGTCCCAGCTACTCGGGAAGCTGAGGCAGGAGAATCACTTGAACTTACAGTGGAACGTTCCAAATGACCAACACCACATTGAAATACATTGAAAAATGAGGGCTCTTGGTAAAATCCCTTTTGGCTAAGGACGGGTTTGGCACCATGGACTGTTAAGTGCTATTCTCTTTGGATTAATCTGTCTTACACTTTTTGCTGACGGCTATGAGTGACAGGATTAGGCATGTGCGGGACCATGGAAGATGGGAGCTTTTTCCTCCCCAAAAGGGGAATCTTGACAGCTGATAGAACTGCTGGAAAAGATCCCTTCACTACTGACAAGTGGTCATCTGAACTTTTCATTTTCAGTGTCATTGCAGTGAATGGGTGATTCCTTCTCTGGCCTCCTTGAGCTCTTCACCTTCCCCACCCTGCCACAGGCAATGCTTTTCTCTCTCTCCTTTCCCTTTCTTATCTTTTCTGTTACTTGGGGTGATAATCTTGCCCAGGGACCACGTGTTATGAATCTGATAACCACGGGGAGGGATAATGGAAGTATGATTTCAATCTCCCCTCCTCCCCTTTTACCTTTCTTTGCCTATTTCTGAGTACCTCTAGGCTACCAAATGTTTCAGTCTGAATGTAGAAAAAACAAAATAATGAGCAGGAATAGACAGACTGGAACAAAATGTACCAAATGGAAACAATTTCCCGACTGAATGTACACTGACATGTGGGACTTACTGTAAATAATTATACAAAGCACAATACAATGAGAACAATAGCAAAAAAAAAAAAAAAAAGAAAGAAAGAAAGAAAGGGAGAATCTCAATGGGAGAAGAAAAAAGAATCCACTTGGCCCAAGGGCATGCATAAATGCATAGTGAATTCATGGACTTTCCCTATTCCCACCAAGGCTTGTGACTTCAGGGGTACGAAGAAACCTCCTTCTCCTTGCAAAACCCTCACATCAAATGCAATTGTGTGGCTGAAGCTTGACACCCACAATTGTAAAGAGAGAAGTGGGGAATGAATAGCAGCAGACAGCTTGACAGAAAGTTCATGCTCACCCAAGAAAATGGAATTTTCCGTCAGGCTGAAAACATAAGCATTGTGAAAGTGGCCATCAAATAATTTGCAGAGAAAACATTGTTGTAACCATGACTCCTTATCGGCAGGCATTGCAATCACTTCACCGGATCACCATAATGTTCATAATCACTTTTTTAAAACTTTTTGGTATATTTTTTCTTTTCTTTTGTTGTGGTAAACCATATAAAAATTTGCCATTTTAGCCATTAAATCAGTGTATAATTTCATGGCATTATTTACATTTACTTTTTTTTTTTTTTTTTTTTTGAGACGGAGTTTCGCTCTGTCACCCAGGCTGGAGTGCAGTGGCCTGATCTCAGCTCACTGCAAGCTCCGCCTCTTGGGTTTATGCCATTCTCCTGCCTCAGCCTCCCAAGTAGCTGGGACTACAGGCGCCCGCCACCTCGCCCGACTAGTGTTTTGTATTTTTTAGTAGAGACGGGGTTTCATCGTGTTAGCCAGGATGGTCTTGATCCGCCTGTCTCGGCATCCCAAAGTGCTGGGATTACAGGCTTGAGCCACCGCGCCCAGCCATTTACATTTTTAAAAGAAAATTACTTTAAAGAAGTCTTCCATAGCAAGAAAAAACTTAATGAATTTTTAAGAGTGGGCTGGCTTCCTTCCCGATACCATTTTGGTTTTGCTGTTTTCCACCCTGGCAGTGCCTTGAAACACACTATTCTCTCATTAGGGACTCACACCACCCCATCTTGCACATGTATCTGGTATCAATGGGGCAGAGAGGAGATGAGTATGGGATGTTGGGGGTAGGGGTGGAAGAGAATGTGTGGGTCAGTGTAAGCCTGCCATAGGCACATGGGAAACTTCTGTGACATGCACAACCCCCAGATGGTGACTCAAGATTACTGCATGAGAGGAGAGTCCGTGACATTCGGTTTGAATGGCATTTCTTAACAATTTTTATTCAGAACTTACTGACCCCATGTGACACACAAAACCAGTGTACATACCCTCCACATATTTATAGAAACATTTTTAAAAGTGCCCTAAAAATGGGTCAATAATCTACTTTTCTTTAAAACATTTAATAGACATTTGATGAACTACTCTTGATGGGGTGCTACGCAAACTACGAATCTGGCTCAAACACGCTCTGGCAAAAAGTGGCACAGAGGGTATCCCTTACACATTGGGGAATGTGAAAGAATGCATGATAACAAAAGGGAGTGGGCCAAATTGGGCCTCATCAGAGGGAGGCATAGGTGGAAGAAACACAGTTGGAAGGGGCAAGGACGGAGGAGGAAAGGGTGACATGGAGAAACCCAGGGTGCTGGAATGGCCGTAGCCCCAGAAGTAACCATCTCTCATCCTGCTGATGGACAAGGGTGCCATTATGGCCTCAACTGCAGTTACCATGACAGGCTGGCCCACGACCATGAGGGGCGGCATGTTTCTCGCCATTAATGCCCTCTGATGTCTCCTCCACTTGGCTCTTCTATTCTCAAACCAAATCTTCAATCAGAGGAAAAAAGAAACAGGTTTAGTATATTGAGCATTTAATTTCATCATGGGAAAACACACAACAAGCAACTCTCTCTGCCCTTAACCTTTTCCGGTGCATCAAGGCAAGCTACTTCCTGACTACTAAAATATCTTAGAAAGGTGAACACCACACATTTCCATAGTGAGCTCCAAGTATGTGCTACGTATGCTCTGGCTTGGCTTATTTCTTTGTCTCTGTCCTTTCATCTGTAATACTACTTTTTCCACTCTTGGGTGCAGGTGTAGCTGATGAGTGGAACTCGGTCCCTCCTGGTATTGCTATGTGTGGCATATCTGCTTGCAGATACCTGACCATCAGCTATCCAGCTGCCCACCAACTACTACTTACTAGGCCACTGTCACCCTGGTCGTGGGGGAAGCTGAGCTTGGAAAAAATTGGGAGGGTGCCTTTTAAAGTCATACCAAGAGGATGAGGCCCCCATTTTGAAAAGCCCATCTTCAGTGTAAAGTAAAAAATCAGTAAGAGTACATTGTATTTTAAAACAAGTTTTCTTTCCTTCAAGAACCTCTAATGGGTCATTCATTTTCCGAAACTCCTTGAGAATTAAAAAGATGGTATATTGCAAGGCAAGTCTCGTTACAGGGGGCTCAGGGAGTTTATGGATTGTCTTGCTGGGAAATGAGGGTATCTGAAGCCCTAGACACTGTCTTCACACTTCAGCTTGAAGTTTTGTGAAAGGAGGACACAAATGTTGTCCAAATTCACAAAAATTCTCAAAAAGCTTTGCCCAGTTGAGAGTTGGAGAGAAAGGAAGCATTGCTAATTCTGCATGCTCCAACTTATCCCTCCCTCCAACTCTTCCCAGGCTAAGGACAAGGTCAGCTCACTTGGTTCTCCCCAGTCCCAGGATGTGGGAGAGACTTGGTTGCCCAGCTCCATGGGACACCATCAGCCATCTAGCCTCACTACTCAAACAGAAGATCCCAATCTCATCAGCATCCCCAAAGCGGGAGTGTCCAAATAGGCATCTCTGAACATGTTCAGTAGTAATGTGGAGGAGGTATCAACAAACACTATTCCCTAAACACCTGCCTACTGTTAAAAGACCAAAAAATAAAACCCGTCCATTAAACAACACTATCCCCCAAGCTTCTAGTTAATGACATTTCCATTGTATTTTGATCCTTCTAGAAGTTCCCAAACTGCAAATTTTACGGGACAAAGGGACTCCTCTCCCTGTTTGATGTCCCATTTCCTTCTCCCATCTTACTGTTCGGAGTCCTTCTCCCTCATGAATATATAGTCTAAATTTTAAGCCTACTGTAATAGTGCTTGTTTAGAGGCAATTGCAATGTAGCTGTGGTCAAAGGTTCATAAACATAAGTAATGCCAAAAGTGGGCTAAATGTGCTATGGGCCAACATTAGGTCTCCATTCTCAGTGTTGGTTTCATAAAACAGCCCTTATTATCTTTACAATACAGAGGGAGGAAACGTCTATTAAAATTTTTTGGAGATATTCATGCTGAAATGTTTGGCAATAAATGAGAACATCATGCCTTTTCCCTTGTTTGCTGAGTGAGAGTGGTCCTTTTGCCTTCAGAACTGCATTGAGTGAATGCTATGTAAACCCAGGGAAGGGAAAGGCAATTCACCCAAACGTCAATATTTCATCTCCCCCAAATTGGCATTGCCTGCCTTTGAAAATGGTGGGCAACAGGATGTCAACACTCAGTGCCCCATTTTGTCAGGCTGCTTTTCTACATGCCACCATTGACAGAACCGCAGCATAGTTCCCTCAATGCACTCACAAACATGAGCTCTGCAGAAAGGCTATTAGGGTCATCCCGATTTTTCTTTCTTCTTTTCCTTTTTTGCAAATATTCCTTTGGATCCATTGACCTACAAATTTATTATCACTGCCTGAGCAAATAAAAAGGTATTTCAAATTGCCACAGGTAAGAGTCTAGCCTGACCTGAGAGCCATCCCCCACTATCAACATATAACACAAAACACATCTCTTCCTATTAGTACAACAAACTGGAAGAAACAAAAAATCTCTTAAATGCTAGAAGTTGCTCAAGAAAATATTCACTGATGCATTTGGTAGTTTCAAAAGTTGAATGGGAGCAGTTTCCCCAAGCCATGAGTGTGACTGTATACAATTCTTGCCTAACACTTCTATCTTTCTTAGGTTGGTGGAAATTTATGCAAAATTGATCTTGAAATTTGTTTTGATTTGTAGATAAACTTGCAAAGGTTGCAAACCTTTTTGCTATCTGTACCATAATGCAAAACTATGTCAGCAATGTTTTCAGGCTGCCAAATCAAAGTATTCCAGAAAATTAAAATTTAGAGCTGCCACTCTCTACAAGGCTTTACCAAATACTTAAAAACAATAGTAGGAGGGCCAGGCACTTGAACTTTATGCTATCCCCTCCCCATCAGTCTCAGCTTCAGGAAACATACATTCTGGTTGTGAAGTATTCCTTTACCCCAATGCCTAAACATTTATAAATTCTTAACCAAAGAGTTTATGCTTGGTTTCAAATATATTAAATAATTTAGTTTAATGGAGCTCTTTGGAGCATTAATTTGAATAATCCCCAGGTCAGAAAACCCCAGGATGCCTCCACATGGAAGTGCTACCTAAAGGATACCAGTGCTAGGAGTTTAATCTTATATATTATGCTATATTTAATTTACACTCTTATATATTATATATATATATATTTGTAATTTGGAATACATATATTTATATATTTATAATTTATTCAAGTGCATAATATATTTTATACACAAGGAATAAAGGAAACCGTTCAGTACTAATTTTTTTTTCCGTGGATAGTCATGTTCCCTCTGGTAACGGGAAATTTCCACAAGCTGAGCTTTCCTTGCTGCATTTTCCAGCCACAAAGATCCCAAAATTCAGACCTCATTGCCTATACATGAAAAAAACCACAAAAACACCAAGATGACAATGTCTGGGTCAAAGTTGTGTCGAAGCCCTGAAGCAGGTTTTAGAATGGCTCCCCTGCCCGACTGCTTTTTCGGTTTACTGACCTGCACTGCGAGTTCAGTCACATTCATGCTTCTTGCCAGCCTCCTCCTATGGGAAGAAACCACACGTGTTTAGCATTTGGAGTTGTGGGTGTCGTTTCATTCTTGTGTTTAATTTTTTATTCTACCAACTCCCCACACGCAGTAGGCTGTTCTGTAACATCCAGCTGAGCCTCACGTTAGGAACTTTTCTCTCAGGTCACAAATAAAAGGAGATGCAAAAAAAAAAAAAAATCAAGGCGGTGGCTCACGCCTGTAATGCCAGCACTTTGAGAGGCCAAGGCAGGAGGATCACTTGAGGTCAGGAGTTCGAGACCAGCCTGGCCAATATGGTGAAACCCCATCTCTACTAAAAATACAAAAATTAGCCGGGAGTGGTGGCTGGCGCCTGTAGTCTCAGCTACTTTGGAGGCTGAGGCAGGAGAATCTCTTGAACCTGGGAGGCAGAGGTTGCAGTGAGCCGAGATCGCACCATTGCACTCCAGCCTGGGTGTCCCAGCGAGACTGTTTCTCAAACAAATAAAAAATAACCCCACATAACAAAAATCGTTAATCAAGATAAATATGTTCTTACTATTTGAAACTTAGAACAATTAACACCAAAGGAAACCCAGCCGAACGACAGACTTCTCAGAATTTTAAATAAGGTCAAGATGCGACCCTGCACTTGCTGTACCGAACCTTTATTTCTGCCTCGGCTGCGATAGGAGTTACTTATCATAACCGACCTCAGCCCAAAGTTGCCCAACTTGGTTCATTTAAATTATACATGATGCCTAATAGGCACAGCCCCACTACAGAACCCACCAGGTGCCAGGGGTCTGCGGGGAGGGGACGGCAGCGACACCAGGCCCCAGGTGGGTTTTGGTTCAGGAGGGAAGAGGGCAGGAGAGGGCTGGGGGAAAGCCAAACGCCACCCTGGAGCAGCACGTGCTCCCTGCAAACCGCGCGCCAACCAGCAATGGGCTTACCGCAGGAACTCGCTGGGGTACTTCTTGCGTTGGAAAATGCGCTCCAGCTCCTGCAGCTGCAAGGGGGTGAAGGCGTGGACGCTGGGCTCCTGCGCGTTGCCAGGCTCCAGCCCCCCGACAGCGCCCGGTGGGGGTATCCAACTTAGAGACCTCCTTCTGTGCCTTTTCCTCGTCCCGGCTATTTGCTGTGGGTTGGCCCAATGCGAGGATGCGCCATGCCGTCAGGGGCTCTGCGGCCTATGCCCCTGGGCGGAGCAGAAGCAGCACGTTGTTTGGGCGTGCAGTTAGGCGGCAGGGGAGGAGTAAGGGGTAGGGGGGAGCTTTAGGGCAGAGGGAGGAGAAGCGAGGAGGAGAGGCAAGAGGGAAGGGACGAGGAAGGGAGGAGGGCGGGGGCAGAGGGGCGAGCTAGGGATGGAGTGGCTGCTGGCATGTGTTGTGCAGGACTCAGGAGTGCCTCAGACCTCCC